TTCGTTGATGCGGAAGTTGACAAGGCAAATGCTCTGCTTTTTGGAAAAGCAAAACCGTATCTGTGACCAAATATCCTAGCGCGGAAACAGTGCATGGGGCAGCAGAACGAAGGCGGGAGTGTGATGAAGGTCCCTGCATTTTGAAGAAAATCGGCCCTTGGTGCTGCTGCCAATACACCACCGCACCCAAGTATTTCCAATCCAGCTCGACTTTGGTCTTATCTGGCAGTCACGCATATCCGTCACGGCTGGGCCCGGGCAACAGACAGACATACACCGCATAACAATCAAATAAACTGGAACAATAAAGGCAGGGACGCCTATATTAACAGAACGAAACGGTAGTGTCTTCGCGACCAATTTGTAGCTCTTTGAAGGCACCTGTTGTTTCCCGTAGGATTGGGCGTGCGTAGTGCACGAGCTTCGTGACGTTGCGTGATGCATTTTAAGTGATGCTCTGGATCACAGCAGAAGCCCTATGCGTGCTTTGTGCTGCGTGTGACACGCAGCGCATGGATAGTACACACGACTCTGTGTCGTTTTGGTCTGTGTTACCTCTGCTGGCAGTTCGAATGTTTCCTTTTAAAAATTGCCTATACTTGGCCGTTGCACAGCCAGTAAGCTGCATTTTGCTTGGTCGCACGAATGCTGTCTGTCTGTGTTGCGCTTTCAGCGTTACCCTAGCCTGGCCGGCTAAATGCGCGTGCATGGTCTGTATGCTGGCCTGCAATTGGCAGGTTTCCATGTTGTCGGCTCATTGCAACTCTGAGGCGACTGCGTTGCGGGACTGCTGAAACATGGTACTCTGTCACAGGTTTCCATGTTGTCGGCTCATTGCAACTCTGAGGCGACTGTGTTGCAGGACTGCTGAAACATGGTACTCTGTCAGAATCTCTTGCATTGGCGTTAGCTTGTAGAGGCGCGAATGTTTGCCTTCTAGACCTGCCACTTCAGCGTGCTCTCACGCACTTTTGAAGTTCGATCACTACTGTATGGTGATGCGAAGCAATTCGCTGCTCGCAGCATATGACAATTTGTCGCTGCTATGCGGCTGTCATGAGATTGGCGGCAGCCCGTGGCAACTCGCTCTCTTCCTCGCAATAACCTCCATGGCCTAGAACACACAATGGACGCATCAATGCAGCCTACTAGGAGCTTCACCCAATCCGCCGACTAACCTGAACGCAGAACGCAAAGGCCGATCCAGGCTGGCACCCAACGCGGATCAATACTCGAGCGATAATGTTCTGAACTAGTGTCTTGGCAGCAACGCCGGAAAAGCAGAATCTTGCCGTGACAAGGCGCACAGCGAGATTTGCCTTACCTCGCCTGCTCCCCTCTGAGGATTTTCAAACTGTGCTGCCTTGGTGTGCGAGAGTTCGCAGCAGCAGAGGGCGTGTTCAACGGAAGCCACGGGCGTCCCTGTCAAACGTCAATCCGCTGTTTTCAAGGGAAGTGCATTTGCTCTGAAACATGCGAGCACTATTCAACGCGGAATCCCTGCATGATCTGGGAAACGTGCCGTCAACCTGATACGCGAGTATATCTCTTCCACACGCCGTAGTCTTCACTGCGTCACTTACTCGCAGGCTTCCAGTTCTTCCACATCTCTCATGCCATGCTTATGCTGCGTGCGTACAAACACTTCACAAGGCGGAGTTGCAAGTGGATATGTGTAAAGGTGTTCTGCAAGTGACCTTACATATTGCTCACATGACTGTGTCCAAGGGAGGGCATCTGGAATAGTCTCCTGTCGTGCCCATCACATTCAGTATGACCGAAAGACGAAGCCACTGCATATGTGGCAAGCTTGAAAAGTAGTGAGGCTGCGACTGAGCTGCGTAAAAGCGGAGCCTCCTTCTGTTGTTGAACTAAATGCGTCGGCAGAGCTCCAAACAAGGCGTACCAACTGTTGCGTTCCTCTATCGAAGTGAACGACGTGTGTGGTCTAGTGCTTCAAGAACCAATCGTTACCAATTAGTGTTGGGTGTCTCGTAGGCGTGGAAGCCGTTACTTGTGATTCGTCGTGGTCCGCATGTTGTTTCATCCTCTTGAGTAGGCGGAGGCATCCGCCCCAAGCATCTGCTCCTTCCGATTTCCTCGCCTGCGGAATATCAAGCATTAAATGAAGCCTTTCCGTACTCCGTATCACTTTCACTGCTCTGTGGTAATTGTAAGATGTCAGAATAATTTCATGGCATTTTCCAATTTTGTTTATGCTAATTTAGTGCGTGAGTGGGCAGTTCCTGGGTTTGCTGACTGCGACGAAGACGTTACGCACGCCATGTTGTGGCGGCGCCTGCGTGCCTGCGGCGTAACACATGAGAGGTGCATGTGTATAGGGCCTTAATGATTCGTGCGCAGCGCGTCTTTTCCATTGTTCAACGTCATGCCACATTTGTTTTCGACTTGACGCATATGCTGGAGCAGGCATACGCGGTCCGCATTTGCAAAAAATTCATGTTGTTCACTCACGAACGACCCGACAAATGGTGCGTATGATACCACTGGGCTGGCAGGCTATCTCCTTAGCACACGGAGGAGATGGGGTATTACACGCGGAAACTGCCGTAGCCATGGCAGAAACGAGAACTACAAATTTGGCTGAGTCAGCATGCCCGGTTAGGCTCCAAACGACGTGTTGAGAGCTGGTTGGCGCACGAAAGCTC